TACAGATTAATTGGTGGTAGGTCTTGGTATGTGATGCTACGATGGGTAGAGAATCCTGATCAATATCTTAATAATGGTTGTCGAGACTTTGCCAGAATATAACTATTTTACATATCTATTTATTATTCATATATATCTATTTTAAAATAAAATCACCTAAGGTATTCCTTGAGGGCTAGTACTTTAGACTTTATTTCGATACCCCTTGAGGGCTGGTATCTTTTTTTTGTACCAGATTCCCATGTAAACCGAAAATATTGTTATTAAATTTTGCAACATCTAGGTTTCATGTCATCAAACTAATTTGGCTAAGTTCATAGAACATCTACATCGTGCAAATATGGTCAGTTGATGTCTTGTGTGACTATATGCAGGGAACCCTAAAATTGGATTAACCGCACATGGTTTAGATTCTTAAAATCATTATTTAATGTATATTCCCATATTAATATATTACTATTACTATTAGTGTCAAAAATATTTATGGATCTCTTCAGATTTTTGCAAAGATATGGTCAGGAAATTTATTTTTTAGCACGACTCTAGCGCGACTCAAGCATAAGTGTATCATTTTTCATATAGCTATATAGAAAAAATTCTAGCGCGACTCTAGCGCGACTCTAGCTCAACTCTAGCACGACTCAACCACATTTAAATCTATATATTTTTGCATACAAACTCATTTCATACAACACAAAAATCCCCCTAGTGTAGATAGATCCAAAGGATCATTGCTTCGCAATAATGTATCGATACCTAATATATTTTTACACATCCACTCTAACTTCAAATACGGCAGGATTCGATCATCTCAAAAATATGAGTGGCAGATAGGATGTATGATATATTATATAGACAGAAATATCAGGAAAAAAAAAATAAATTATACTTCAGACACATGTCTTTATTACGCTGTTAATGATTTGATTTCTTTTTCCAGATCTAGAGGATTCATCCATCCGACTCTGATGGACATAGGATCAGAGATTGGTACAGTGGTGTCGAAGACAATGAATTCACGATTTCGCAAATAGTTATTGATAACTCTAGAAGCTTTGCGTGGATCTTCTTCTATATATTGACGAATAATTCGTTGAATGTCATCTTTTGAACCTCCACCATCAAATATTACAAGATGGGTTGAATTTTCACGAAGGATTTTTGGCATTTGAGTGAATTTATGTGAAATATATATTGCGGAAATATTGCTATGGCGACCTCTGGTAAAAAATGGGATGATACGATTTTGAATTGACTGGGGTTCAGTACACACATCTTCAAAAATTAAAACAGTCCGTCTTTTTGGATTTTTAAATTGTTTCAGACCTGGGATTTTATCAGGGGTAATTGCAGTAAATGTAACGTCCTCATAGTACGACTTGGAAGGATCTGCTATTTTCTTATAGAAATTTCGAAGTAATCGATATTTGGGTTCATTGGGATGGCGAGTTACTAATACAATATCATTGCAACGTATATGACGCTCGCCAATTTTCTCTGATTTTTCTTTGAGATCATAGTATTTATCTCCGGAAAATAGATCTACCGCCATATTGGTTTTACCACTGTTTGATCTTCCAAAAACCCCCATATAGAATGGCCACTTTGGGGCATCTTCATCGTCTAAAGATTTTTTTGGTGGTTTAACTTCGTCGATATGATATATATAATAGTACTCCATTCTGGTATCAATTTCAACTATATCTTTACAATTTTTTTTTTCTTTCTAATATACATAAGTATAGACATGTCTAATCTTGTAGAAGCCCAAACTTATGCTGAAAAACGTGGAGGAAAATGTCACATCCAAACTGGACCTACAACTTTTTTATTCTCATGTCATAGGAAGCATTTATGGGAGAGGCCACTCGAAGTTATTACAAAAAGATATGACTGGTGTCCTCTATGTCCTCATCCGAAAGGGGAACGTACATCAAGGTATATATTCGAAGATTTGTTAGGAAAGGAATTTCCACCATCCCGACCTAAATTCTTAGAGGGATTACATCTTGATGGGTACAATAAGGAATTGCAACTGGCGTTCGAATTTAATGGCCAACATCATTACTGTCTCATTCCAAAACATTTTCATCCCAATGGCCAGAGTGATCTGGATAATCAAATCAAACGGGATCAAAAAAAACAGGATCTATGCAAAAGGGAAGGTGTATGCCTCATCGAAATACCATATTTCGCAGATATCGAATCTTTTATAAGAGAAGCTTTAACCAAGAACGGCTATCTC